TTACCATGCGCCCTCTGGAGCCTGATCGCTAGGCCTTTAGGGACGGAAAGTGCCCTTCCTGCTGACGCGCCAGGCCTCTGACCCAGCTGCCTCCTCTCTGTGGGGTGGCAGGAAGGGCCCAGGACTGAGGTGGTCGACGAGGGACCCCGTCGGCCCGGTCTCTGCTCAGCTGTGGGATCGGGAAAGCCCTGTCTGCGTCCCCACCGCCTTGGCTTTCTTCTCCCTGAGAGGTAAGGGAGGTGGCTGGCTGTTCAGCGGGTCCCTTCCACTCTGGGAATCCCCAATTTCAGCAGCAGAACTTCCTCAAGCAGAAAGCCGCTGGGAAAGTGGGTGCCCGGGTGGGCGGCGGAAGCCCCGGGGAGGCAGACAAAGGCGCCCCGTGCAGGCCCTGCCTCCAGCCTGGCCGGCACCTCCCCGGGTTCCATGCCCAGACCAGGGCTTCCAAGAACCAGAGTTAGTCCTTCAAAACCGTCAGGCAGTTGACCGTGTTCCTGGAAGCTGTGGTTCAGGAAGAGTGGGAGGGAGGGAGCAATCCAGGGAGAACAGAAGACAGGGTGAGAAAGACGGGAGGAGCCGCAGGGGAGGAAAGCTGAGAAGAGGCCACGTGGAAAGGGGAGGATGCAGAGGGGCCGGGAGGGCGGAGCTGTGCGCAGCCGCCTGGCACGGGCTCAGAGCCACCTTCGCTGCTGACCTGGACACAGAGCAGAAGCAACACTTGCTTTCTTTTTTTTAATTTTTTGATGCAGTCTCACTGTGTCGCCAGGCTGGAGTGCAGTGGTGCCATCTCGGCTCACCGCAGCCTCCGCCTCCCGGGTTCAAGGGATTCTCCAGCCCCCGCCTCCGAGTTGCTGGGATTACAGGTGCCTGCCACGCCTGGCTAATTTTTGTATTTTTAGCAGAGACGGGGTTTCACCATGTTGGCCAGGCTGGTCTCGATCTCCTGACCTTGCAGTCCGCCCGCCTCAGCCTCCCGAAGTCCTGGGATCACAGGCGTGACCCCCGCGCCGGCCGCAGTTGCTTTGCAGGCAGGAGGCAGAGCCGCTGTGGGGTGGCCCTCGCCCTCTCCCCAATCCCTGGAAGAAGAATCGGAGCCCGTGGCCCCGGCCCCTTTGGCCTGGAGACACCGATGTTGGCGGGTTTTCTGTGAAACAGTAACAAAGACGCCACCTCCGGAGCAGCACCCTTCACCCCTGCGGTGTGGCCTCAGCAGAACCCACTCCAGTGGCTGTTGCCATCGTGACTGGCATCCCAAGGCCGGGAGCAGATCTCAGAGGCCTGACTCCTGCGTCAGCCTTTATTGCACAGTGACAAGCACGGCTCCCTCGGGGAAGCACCTGCCACGTGTCAGGCTGGTGCCAAGCTCCTTTCACGCACTGTGGCACCCACTTTGTAGCCACACAATGGGCTATGACTGTGTGTGTGTGTGAGTGTGGTGTGTGGACGCGCATGCGTTTTCTTCTGGAGATACGACTGACTGTTCATCTTACTTTACAGAAGGAGAGGCCAGGCGGCCTGCCTTCAGAGCGTCGATTTAGCCATCACCCTACGGAAATAAAACGTGGGAGCGGCCCACGGAGCGGTGGTGAAGGGTTGTGGGAGCTGCGCCCCTGCCTCTCGGACCCACGCCAGTTTCCGCACCTTGAGCACCAGAATGACAACTTCACAGAGCAATTGTGAAGATGGAAGATGGCCTGAGCCACCGCGCACAGGCCCTGGCCTGGCAGGGCTGGATCAGGGCCGTGTGAGCGCGGGAGTCAGCGGGAGTCTGATGAGCCTTCGCCCCGGCCTGCTTCCTCCAGCCATTCTTCTGCACGCTGAGAACTAGCGAGAAGGGACTCAGGCCCAGACGGAGCATGGGCGCCAGGCACCGTGCCCAGCTGCCCACGAGGGTCAGCCAGCAAGGTGCCCGTGTCCTGTGAGGCACTAGGGTTCTGCCCTGGGTCTTGCAGCGCCATGACCTCCCTTTCCCCCTCTGTCCCTGCCCTGCCCCACCCTCAGCCACCTGCAGGGCCCCCACCCAAGGGTCAGGGCAGAGCAGGGCAGGGCCGGGAGGCAGTGGGGTGGGGGTCATTATCGCTGGCTGCACAGCCGGAGACGGTGTTAAACCCAACCTTCTTATCAGTTCCCAGGCCTTTGCTGAAAGGCCCAGCCCAGCCCAGCTATGAGGCACCAGGGCTGGAGGGCAGAGCCCTGCGGTTGCCGGGGCTCTGGTTGCCCCATGCCTGGTCCTGGGCCATTCTGTCCCCTCTGGTTAGGGGCAGCGGCCTGGGAAGCAGAGTCACCAGACTGGCTGTACCGTGTGGTCTTGTGCAACCACTTCCCTCTCTGGGCCCCAGAGTGCCTGTTTGTGAATCTGGGGTGGAGGGGCGGCTGGATGAGGCAGCTGGGCTCCTTCCTCCCCCAGAGAGTTAGGATCCTGTGACCCTGGAGGTGGCTGTGACTGTCAGTGCTACAGACGAGGAAGCTGAGGCTGTGCATAGTGGCACAGGGCAGTGACCCCCACAGCACAGCAACTGCTGGGCAGAGAGAGGAATGACTGGCTGAGTGCCACCCCACACGCCCATGAGGCCTGGGACCCGTCCAGAAGGCCCGTGGAAGAAAGGCGTGGAGATGGGGCGGTGGCGCAGCTCTTGGCTCCCCACCCAGGGACCTGCCCCCTTCTTCAGGTGCTAGGTGCCGTCTTGGACCTCTCGGAGGGGCCCTAGACAGGCAGGCCCTTGGCGGCCCTGCAGGCCTGGGCTCACCCCTCGGCTCCAGCAGGGAGAAGGAAGGGTGGCTGGCTTCTTGGGCGGGTGGGCAGCAGGCCCTGTAACTGGGCTCTGATAACACCCCTCCCCTTATCAGGGGCCAAGGACTGGGTGGGGTGCATCTGAGAATCAAGGGCACATTCAGCAGAAACCGGGAAAGGGCAGAAAGGAACAGGGGGTGCAGTTCAACTGAGGCCTCCCAGCCTGACTGCAGATTCCCTGAGGGTCCGCTGGCTTCGGGGAGAGAGTGTGGAGCGGCGGGGAGTCCAAGGAGGGACGGTCTGTGTCTCAGCCCTCCAGGAGCAGAGGGGCCTGATCCAAGTGGCTTTCCTGGAGACACTTCAGAAATTCCAGGCTGGGGCCTGGGCAGCGGCTCACGCCTGTAATCCCAACACTTAGGGAGGCCGAGGGGGGCCGATCACTTGAGCCCAGGAGTTTGAGACCAGCTTGGCCAACATAGTGAAACTGTCTCTACTAAAAATACAAAAATTAGCTGGGCGTGGTGGTGCACACCTGTAATCGCAGCTACTCGCGGGGCTGAGGCACGAGAATCGCTTGAATTCAGGAGGCAGAGTTGGTAGTGAGCCGAGATCTCACCACTGCACTCCAGAGCAAGTCTGCTTCTCAAAGAAAAAACATCCCAGGCTGGGAGGGACGGAGAGGTCTCGAATCTATACCCCTCAGAGGGGTCATGGCCTCCTTTGACACTGTGAGGAAATTACGTCTGCCCGGTGGGGAGCCGAGCCCCAGGCAGTGGGAGGAGGTGACTCTCAGGAACAGGGCCTCCCCCGCCCCGGGCCTGGCCTTCTCTGCCCTCTGCGGGGACTCCAGGCTGGCATGACATCCTCACCTGGCCAGCTCCATGATTCACATCCCGGCCAAGGCCCAGGCTCCTAGACCCTCCTCTGTAGCCCAGGCCAGGCTGGCCCTAGGCTCGCATTTGGAGAAAATCATGACCACACTGGGCACACCCATTGTGTGCCTACTGTGTACCTGTGTCCCTGGAGAAAATAATCATGACCATAGTAGCTGCACCTATTGTGTGCCTACTGTGTACCTGTGTCCTTGATGTTCTGCATGAAACAATTCATCCCAGCCTCTGACAACCTTCCAGAAAGGTGACATTATTCTCAGTCCCACGGTCACACTCTGGCTGCTAGCAGAGCCACAGTCTGACGTTTCCTGCCCCGACCCCCACCTGGAGGGGCCTGGAACCACCCCAGGGATGGGATCAGAACCAGCTCCTGACGTCGCATCAGGAAGGCGGGCCCAGGGTGAGAGGCAGCGGCAGGAAAGCTGTGGGTCTGAGCTGTGGTGAACGCCCCCACCCCGCCACTTCCCCAGGAGAGGCAGCCGGGAGAGGGCCACTCCCAGCCTCAGGGTCAGCCCCAACCCACCCCGAGGCTCCAGGGAGGCAGGGCTGGACCAGGCCAGGCCTGGTGAATTCCTGGGCAGCGGGCGCCCCCTGCAGACAAAGGTGCCACCGGACGGAGGCCAGGTCATCCCAACCTCAGACATCCAGCCCTTGCTGGGAGCTGGGCCAGGTCAGCAATCACTACGTTGCCCAGTTTTTTTTTTTTTTTTTTTTTGAGACGGAGTTTCGCCCTTGTTACCCAGGCTGGAGTGCAATGGCACGATCTCGGCTCACCGCAACCTCCGCATCCTGGGTTCAAGCAATTCTCCTGCCTCAGCCTCCTGAGTAGCTGGGATTACAGGCACGTGCCACCATGCCCAGCTAATTTTTTGTATCTTTAGTAGAGACGGGGTTTCACCATGTTGACCAGGATGGTCTCGATCTCTCGACCTTGTGATCCACCCGCCTCGGCCTCCCAAAGTGCTGGGATTACAGGCTTGAGCCACCGTGCCCGGCCCTTATGTTGCCCAGTTTTAATGAGGAGAGAAATGTTAGGTGTCTTGCCCAAGGTCACCTCTGTGACCTTGGGCAGGTGGTACTGGGTCCTGAACTCAAGTCTCCACAGATCCTGGCTCCCTCATCCCAGAAGGTCTTTGACCCCCAGTAGAGCCTCCCTGAAGCCTTCACCCAGGACAGACATGCACAGCGTGACAGTTGTAAGGGGCAGACAAGGGTATTTAATGGGCATTGAGGGTCTTGGCACTCCCACCAGGGGAGGGCAAGGGCAGGGCACAGAAAGGCTTCCACTCAGGAGGTGGCTCGGGAGGTGGTTCAGGAGGTGCGATCAGGAGGTGGCTCAGGCACTGGTGCTGTGGGCATCTCCGGTCACACAGGGGTGAGAGGAAGGCGGAGCCTCGCCTGGGGCCCTCCGGCAGCATGGGCAGCACTGGGCCCGTGTGAAGCTAAACACAGAACAGGGGCATGCAGGCTCTTGCCAAGACTGTGCCCCACAGCTCGGGCCAGGTCTCCTGCCCCCGGAGGCAGAGCAGAGGGAGCCGGCTGGCCCCAGAACACGCCGCGAAGGCCCCAGGGGCGCTGGGCTTACTCAGCCCCACCGCGGCACTCCTGATGCCCCCAACATGCCACCTCCAAGTTTCATGGGGCTTCATTTCCTTTAAATGAAAGAATTTCCCGCCACTCCTACCCCCTGGCCAAATTATAAACCACAGGCTCATCCCAGTCCTGACAGTAAGTGACTGACCCAAGGCCAATCAGCACGTTTAGAGGGTAGTCATTTGTCTCTGTGACTCCAGGGACTCCTGGGCATATTCTAGAGGCCTGGGGCCCTCCTTTCAATGCCCCTCCAGTGTAGAACCCCCTCCCCCACACTCAGAGCGCTCCACCGTCAGGGTCAGCCCAACCTCAGGGGCCTCCCCCTACACCCTCACAACCTGCAGACACCCTCTCCCGACAGGCACACGCACACGTGTGCACATGCTCCTTACCTCCTGGAGAGCTGCAGCCTCACCACTCCCTGGGGGCCCCTTCCCTGGTCTGTAGGGACCCAGAGGCTGGGGCTGGAGGCAAGGGCAGGCTGGGGGGCACGTAGGGGAGTGCAGGTTCCGCATGGGTGTCCAGTCAGGCCCCACCGCTGTCTGCAGCTGGACAGCTTCAGCCATGTACCTGGGGAGGAACAGGGCACATGCAGGCCACTGTCCTCCTGGCCTGGCCCCGCCCCCCTCAGCGTGGGAAGCAGGCAGCCCAGGGCTTGGCTCTGCAGGAAGCTGAGGCCAGCCTTGTGCATAATGCAGCGCCCCTCTACGCCATAATGGGTCAAGAACCCACAGAGGCGAGGAAGTGGGGAGGCCCCAGAGCTCCCAGTGCCCTGGAGAAGACCCCGGAGGAGCAGGAACCGTGAGTGTAAGGGCCTGGGGCCGCGGTGAGGAGCCGGGGTGCCCCCCTCCGCCCTGCCCCAGCCCCAGGGTTCACCAGTTGGGCCTCTGCTCTGTCAACTCACTTGGGGCCCCGTGGCGCACAGATTGTTAAATACCAGTTGCTGGTGCAGCCCTGGTCGAAGGGGTTGTATCCCTGAAGGTGCCTGCACTGGAGGAGGGTGGAAACTGGAACAGGAGCTCAGAACCGTCAGGAAAGGCTGGGCCGTCACCCAGTGACCCTCCCGGAGCTGGTCAGCCAGCCAGGGCTCAGCCCAGCAGCCCCTGAGAGTTATAGGACCCCCTCGGCACAGTCCTCCCTCTGTCCCCACCGGCCACACACATCCTCCTCCTGCCTCCTTCCAGATACAGACTGCCTTCCCTGAATGCCACAGTCTGGAAGGTCAGCGTGTGAGGCCACACACTCACAGTAATAACAATAGCCTAGCACACAGTAGGCTCCCACACTCACAGTAATAACAACAGCCTAGCACACAGTAGGCTCTCAAACTCACAGTAATAACAATAGCCTAGCACACAGTAGGCTCCCACACTCACAGTAATAACAAACCGCCTAGCACACAGTAGGCTCCCACACTCAAGGTAATAACAACAGCCTAGCACACAGTAGGCTCTCAAACTCACAGTAATAACAACAGCTTAGCACACAGTAGGCTCCCACACTCACAGTAATAACAAACCGCCTAGCACACAGTAGACTCCCACACTCACAGTAATAACAACAGCCTAGCACACAGTAGGCTCTCAAACTCACAGTAATAACAACAGCCTAGCATACAGTAGGCTCCCACACTCACAGTAATACCAAACCGCCTAGCACACAGTAGGCTCCCACACTCAGTAACACAAACAGCCTAGCACACAGTAGGCTCCCACGCTCACAGTAACACAATCTGCCTAGCACACAGTAGACTCCCACACTCACAGTAATAACAATAGCCTAGCACACAGTAGGCTCTCAAACTCACAGTAATAACAATAGCCTAGCATACAGTAGGCTCCCACACTCACAGTAATAACACAACAATAGCCTAGCACACAGTAGGCTCTCAAACTCACAGTAATAACAACAGCCCAGCACACAGTAGGCTCTCACACTCACAGTAATAACAACAGCCTAGCACACAGTAGGCTCCCATGCTCACAGTAACACAAACCGCCTAGCACATAGTAGGCTCCCACACTCAGTAACACAATCCGCCTAGCACACAGTAGGCTTCCACACTCACGGCAACACAAACTGTCTAGCACACAGTAGGCTCCCATGCTCATATTAACACAATCCACCTAGCACACAGTAGGCTCCGACGCTCAGGGCAACACAAACCGCCTAGCACACAGTAGGCTCCCACGCTCACAGTGACACAATCCACCTAGCACACAGTAGGCTCCGACGCTCAGGGCAACACAAACCGCCTAGCACACAGTAGGCTCCCACGCTCAGCAACAAAACCGCCTAGCACACAGCAGGCTCCCAGGAGGGAGAGTGACCACCGAGCTCCCGGAGGAGGCGGGATTCGAGCCTCTGAAGAGCTGCGTGCGGAGGGGCCTGGGGTCCGGCAGTCGGGCCCCGGCAGCGCACGGAGCGCTCTGTCTTTCCGAGCGCCGCCCCCACGGCCCGCGTACCTTGCCCTCGCAGGTGCGCTCGGCCAAGCTCACGGACGCGGCCTGGATCAGCAGCAGCAGGGACAGCGGCACCAGGAAGCCCGCGGCGGTCACCGCCACCACGAGGCTGCGCGCTAAGGAACACGCAGAGCTGCGGGACCCCTCCCACGCCTGGCCCCGCCCCCGCGCCCGGCTCCGCCCCGATCCCCGCCCCGAATCCCGCCCCTCAGGCCCGACTCTTCCTGAGCTACCCCCAACCAGACCAGACTCCGCCCCGATCCCCGCCCCTCATGCCCGACTCCGCCCCTATCCCCGCCCCTCACGCCCGACTCCGCCCCGAGCCCCGCCCACGGAAGCCCACCCACCACTCCTGGCCCCGCCCTCATCTAGCCCACCCGGGCGAAAGCCTGAAGACCCCGCAGTCCCGGCCGGTCCAGATCTGCGTTCCACTGTTAGCACCCGCTCCATGACCCCGCTCGATTCTTTCTTCTTTTTTGGAGGCACAATCACAACTCACTGCAGCCTCGACCTCCCCGGTTCAAGCGACCCTCCAGCCTCAGCCTCCCGAGTAGCTGGGACACAGGCGCGCGCCACCACGCCCGGCTAATTTTTCTGTCTTTCCGTAGAGACGGGGTCTCACCACGTTGCCCAGGCTGGTCTGAAACGCCGGGGCTGAAGCCGTGCGCCCGCCTAGGCCTCCCAAAGTGCTGGGATTACTGCGCTGGGCCCGCGGGACTCTCCACGCGCCCCTCCCATCCCCCACCCCGCCCACCCGACTCGTCCCGGACTGCCCTCCCCGAGGCTTCTCCCTCTAGCCCCGCCCCCATGGCCCGCCCCGCTGCCCCCGCCCCAGTCCCCGCCTCCTCCCTCTGCTTCCCCACGTGGGCGGATACGCGACGGCCTTGTCCGTGGAGAACGGCAGGTGGGTCGTGCGCACCAGGAAGATGACACAGGTGACCAGCAGGGCGCCCGAGTAGAGGCACAGGGACAGGACGAGCAGCATGAAGAAGCGGAAGTTGCGGTGACCGATGCAGTTATTGACCCACTTGCAGTGATGGTCAAAGTCCTGGGCGACAGGGAGAGGGAGCAGGCTCGAGGACTTCTCCTCCCGCCCGACTTCGATCACTTTCCCCCTGCCCTCTAGCCACCTGCCCGTGGCCCATGCACGGGCTTCCACCCCCAGGGAGAAACAGCCAGAGTCCCTAACGCTGGCATTTCCCTTGTTAGAGCACACCTAGGTCTCTGTGGTATATCAGGTCACCTGTCAGGAGACATTAGAGACAAGGCTTGCCAGACCGTCTGGGAGACACTTCCTACTGTAACTTTGGGCAGAACATAAACCATCCTCTGGGCCTCCACTTTCTCGCCCATTAGATAAAGATGATAGCAGCACCCTTGCCCAGCCAGCACTTGTAAACCTATGCAGGCTGTGACCACGAGAGAGATGGCCACTCAGAGCCACGAGACCCTCCAACCTGGACACCCAGGCAAGGACAGGCAAGGCCTCCCAGACCAGGCAGGCAGCCAGCCTGAGGGGCTTGGGTATCTCATGTTAGTGAACTCAGGGGTGGGACAGGGAGCTGCCTCTCCTCCCCCGGCCTGACCCAGCCCAGGACAGATGTAGGTGCCTATGCACGTCAGCACCTGTGCAGACAATGGCCAGCCTCCCGGGACAGGTGCAGGCAGACAGCGCAGGAGTGACCGACCGAGAGTGACTGGGAGTTACTGGCACCCTTGGCCTTTAGCCATCCCGAGGGACAGCTTCACACCCAGCCCCAGCCCCTGTATGAGGGGGCTCCTGGTCCCAGCCAGATGTGGGGTGATGGCTGGCTGGTGGTCAGGTAGAGGGGCACTCACCTCCACACAGACATCGCACCAGGGGCAGTGGTAGGTCCGGGGCGGGCGGTGGAAGCAGCACTGTGGGCACCACTGCAGGCGGAAGGCCCCGTGGTTCACCCACACCACGTGCACTGTCAAGGGCCCCTGCTCAGCGGAGCCTGGCGTGGGAAGACGGTTGGGCGCAGCAGAAGGCCCTGCGGTCACTCTGTGGCTGGGGGAGCTCCATGGCATCACAGGGCATGAGGAAGGGTGGGGATGAGGTGGGCAGGGGACCCCAGTCCCCACTGAGCAAGCTGTCCAAGCTCAGAGAGGATGGCAGTCAAAGGGAAGACAGGTTTTCAGCCAGGAGAGTTTTGTATAAAACTCAGGCCTGGTATGGCGTGGTGGCTCATGCTTGTAATCCTAACGCTTTGTGATCAACTGTGGTCGGGAGTTCGAGACCAGCCTGACCAACATGGAGAAACCCCATCGCTACTTAAAATACAAAAAATTAGCGAGGCTTGGTGATGCATGCCTATAATCCCAGCTACTCGAGAGGCTGAGGTAGGAAAATTGCTCGAACCCAGGAGGTGGAGGTTGCCGTGAGCCGAGATGGCACCACTGCACTCCAGCCTGGGCAACAAGAGCAAGACTGTCTCAAAAAAAAAAAAAAAAGAACCTCAGGCCTTTGGAGCAGTGCAGTGAAGGGAGGCCGTGCAAACAGCGGTTTGGAAGAGCCCACTGGCTTCTGGCCCTGGCGCACCCAGTCCTCCCATCTAGGCCACTGGGAAACCTCAACAATTCTGTTTTTCCACACTTTGGTGCCTTAAGAAATGGGGTGCCAGGGCCAGAGCGATGAAGACGTGGGGTGAAGGGGTCCAGAGGCTGGAGCCATCCCTGCAGGTACAGTCCTTGGGGTGCCGCCTCCTTTTCCCGGGGGCTGATGCCTCACCTTGATGTAAGATGCCAGGGTCTGAGAAGTTGAGTGAAACAAGGCTGAAGAAGGTGAGGACAAAGAGGGGGCCTGTGACCGTAGGAAAGGCCCACTCCCCATTCTGAGCCAGCCACCTGCAACTGAGACGAGACCCAGGCTCAGACCTGAGCAGGGGCAGCCTGGCTTACCCGGGTCAGGACCCACAGACCTTAAAGCAGCTCTGAAAATCCAGGCTCCAAATACGCAGACACACTCATAACGGCTCCACCAATGTCAGCAGCGTGACCAGCCGCACGGGCACTCTGACCTCTGTGCCGCTGCACATTCGGTCCCTAGAGCTAGAACATCCCTCCTTCCCCGACCTCTGCCCGCCTTCTGCGCTCCGGCCCGCACCCTGTCATCACCTTCTGTCTCCCTTTCTCTCTGCAGGAAACCCAACCGCTTGCCCGGAGACTCACGGGAATGCGAAGAAGAGCCCGCTGAGAAAGACCAGCAGCGCCACACTGCAGGCGGCAAACAGGCTGGGGAGGACCCAGGGAAGTGGGAGCAGAGGCAGAGGACGGGGCTCCTTCACGTCTGTTAAGGGTGTCATGGCTGGGCCTCCTGCGCCTCCGGGGCAGGTCACAGCCAGCAGGCTTCCTTCCCCAGCCCAGCTTTCAGAGCTCCACGGCGGCCTCAGAGCCACTGCCCAGGATGAAAGGAAAGAAGCCCAGTGTGACATCACAGAGGCTGGGGGTCCTCAGAACTGCCTGCAGCCTGCTCTGGCTGCCCGTGGTGACAGGCACTTCCAACAGCAAACCCCACCCCCACCCCACATGCTGGGGAAACGAGGTCCTGCCCCTGAGAGGTTGACAGTGCTGGAGGATATGACTTTGGAGAAACACATGGGGAAGAAAGCTGGTAATTTTCAGTCGGGCGCTGTAATCCCTGAAATCCCAGCACTTTGGGAGGCTGAGGCGGGTGAATCACTTGAGGTCGGGAGTTCGAGACCAGCCTGACCAACATGGTGAAACCCCGTCTCTACTAAAAACGCAAAACTAGCCAGGCGTGGTGGAGAATCACTTGACCCTGGAAGGTGAAGGTTGCAGTGAGCGGGGATCGCACCACGGCACGCTGGCTAGAGTGCCACCTTGGGGCCCTAGGCCACACGCCAGCACGCTGCCCAGCAGAGCCCAGCCACACTGCTGAGCCGAGGCCCAGCCCTGAAACGCCTCCCCCTGAGCTGCCTATTTTATTTATTTATTTAGAGAGGGAGTCTCACACTGTCGCCTGGGCTGGAGTGCAGTGGCGCAATCTCGGCTCACCGCAACCTCCACCTCCCAGGTTCACTTGATTCTCCTGCCTCAGCCTCCCGAGTAGCCAGGATTACGGGCACACAGCACCACACCTGGCTAATTGTATTTTTAGTAGAGACGGGCTTTCACTGTGTTAACCAGACTGGTCTCCAACTCCGGACCTTGTGATCCGCCCGCCTCAGCCTCCCAAAGTGCCGGGATTACAGGTGTGAGCCACCGCGCCCAGCCCTGAGCTGCTTATTATGTGAGAAAGTAATGGGGCTTTCCATTCCATGCAGCTGACTTGATCTGTCTGTCTGTAGAGACAGGGTTGGCCTTGATTGAACCTCTGGCCTAAAGCAGTCCTGCCTTGGTCTCCTGGAGCACTAGGATTACAGGCATGAGCCACTGTGCCCCAGCTCAGCTGACACTTGGCACCTGTTTTGGTGACTAAGCATCTGAACCCCGTCAGGGCTTGGAGGACCCACACACTGCACGTCTTGATCAGAGTCAAAAACCATTTCCCTATCCCAGCTGCAGCTGAAAATGGCCAGATACTCACTGTGGAGTCCTCTCTGTGGCTGCTGCACAGGCTGAGACCCAGGTGCCACCAGGCAGCTTCAGAGCTCCTGCCACCAACTCACCGGAGACTCTTTGCTGAGACTTTGCACATGTCAAAGTGTAACACTCATTTTGTAGGTGACTTGAATTCAACACTGATCTCGTTATTCTACAACATGGATAAAATAGGTGATTGGTGGCTAGGCTTGGTGGCTCACGCCTGTAATCCGAGCACTTTGGGAGGCCGAGGCGGGAGGATGGATGGCTTGAGCTCAGGAGTTCGAGACCAGCCTGGACAACATGGTGAGACCTTGTCTCTACTAACAATACAAAAATTAGCCAGGTGTAGTTGTGTGCACCTACAGCACCAGCTACTCAGGAGGCTGAGCTGAAAGGGTTACTTGAGCCCTGGAAGACCAGGGCTGCAGTGAGCTGTAATTCACTGCACTCCAGCCTGCTGGGCAAAAGAGCGAAAACTAACTCAAAAAAAAGTAATATCCAGATTCTCCCTAATATGTTTTCATTTATTTGTTTTATTTTACTTTACTTTTTATTTTTTTAGAGACAGAGTCTCATTCTGTCACCCAGGCTGGAGTGCAAGGGCACAGCCTCGGGTCACTGCAACCTCTGTCTGCCTGGTTCAAGTGATTCTCCTGCCTCAGCCTCCCGAGTAGCTGGGATTACAGGTGCCCACGACCACACCTGGCTATTAATTTTTTATTTAAAAAAGAAATGAGACAGGCCGGGCATGGTGGCTCACACCTGTAATCCCAGCACTTTGGGAGGCCAAGACAGACAGATCCCTTGAGGTCAGGAGTTCGAGACCAGCCTGGCCAACATGGTGAAACCCCATCTCTACTAAAAACACAAAAATTAGCCGAGGGTGGTGGCACACGTCTGTAGTCCCAGCTACTTGGGAGGCTGAGGTGGGAGAATTGTTTGAACCCAGGAGGCGGAGGTTGCAGTGAGCCAGTTGTGCCACTGCACTCCAGCCTGGGGGACAGTGAGTCACCTTCTCAAAAAACCAAAAGAGCCGGGCATGGTGGCGGTGCCTGTAGTCCCAGCTACCTGGGAGGCTGAGGCTGGAGGATCACTTGAGCCCAGGAGTTCTGGGCTTTAGTGCGCAGTGCCAGGTGTCCGCCCTAAGTTCGGCATCAATATGGTGACCTCTCGGGAGTGGGGGACCACCAGCTTGCCTAAGGAGGGGTGAACCAGCCCAGGTTAGAAATGGAGCAGGTCAGCACCGGGCGCGGTGGCTCAAGCCTGTAATCCCAGCACTTTGGGAGGCCGAGGCTACTCGGGAGGCTGAGGCAGGAGAATTGCCTGAACCCAGGAGGCGGAGGTTGCGGTGAGCCGAGATCGCGCCATTGCACTCCAGCCTGGGTAACAAGGGCGAAACTCCGTCTCAAAAAAAAAAGAAATGGAGCAGGTCAAAACTCCAGTGCTGATCAATAGTGGGGTCACACCTGTGAATAGCCACTGCACTCCAGCCTGGGCGACATAGCGAGACCTTGTCTCTAAGAAAAGAAAAAAAAAAGAAGAGACAGCATCTCACGATGTGGCCCAGGCAACACCAGGGCTCAGGCAGTCCTCCAGCCTCAGCGTTCCGAGGGGCTGGATTACGACCCTGAGCCGCTGCACCCAGCCCCTGTTCATGGACCTATTGCTCTTAGCACTGTGTATTTTGATTTTTTGGTAGTTTTTGAATTCAGGGGAGCTTTTTTTACATGCTTGTCATCATCTAAATCCCTAAAATTGTGATGTTATGTAGAAAAATGTCGTAACACAAAAATATTCACTAGTGAACTCACATGAGAGCCTCCACTTAATCATCTCCTTCCATTCATTCATTTATTTATTTATTTATTTATTTTTGTTTGTTTGTTTGTTTGTTTGTTTGTTTTTGAGACGGGGTTTCGCTCTTGTTACCCAGGCTGGAGTGCAATGGCACGATCTCGGCTCACCGCAACCTCCGCCCCCTGGGTTCAAGCAATTCTCCTGCCTCAGCCTCCCTAGTGGCTGGGACTACAGGCGTGCGCCACCATGCCCAGCTAATGTTTTGTATTTTTAGTAGAGACGGGGTTTCACCATGTTGACCAGGATGGTCTCGATCTCTTGACCTCGTGATCCACCCGCCTCGGCCTCCCAAAGTGCTGGGATTACAGGCTTGAGCCACCGCGCCCGGCCCCCATTCATTTATTTTTATGTTTTATATATTTATCTTTTTTTAAAATTGAGACAGAGTTTCACTCTTGTTGCCCAGGCTGTAGTGCAATGGTGGGATCTCGGGTCACTGCAACCTCCGCCTCCCAGGTTCAAGTGATTCTCTTGCCTCAGCCTCCCGAGTAGCTGGGATCACAGGCATGCACCACCACCCCCCGCAAGTTTTGTATTTTTAGTAGAGATGGGGTTTCTCCATGTTGGCCAGGCTGGTGTCAAACTCCTGACTTCAGGTGATCTGCCCGCCTCAGCCTCCCAAAGTGCTTGCTGGGATTACAGGCGTGAGCCTCCGAGCCCGGGCAGAGATTTAGTCTTATAACGAGGCCAAGAGTAGAGTGGTCATTCCTCTGCTGCTGTGCACGTGCAGGCCACGCGTTCACTGCCTTCAGTGTAAGATTTAAAGTGGGGTGCTGCCGATCTGAGCTTTTCAGGGTGCTGTGATCCGTGGGTTTTGCATCTTGAGGAAGCTTTCTAGTGGAATCATGCTTATCTCATTGTTTCGCTGTCCTGTAGTTAGCAGGTAGGGAAAAAGAAAGAAGAAAGCAAAGGGGAATTCATTCGCAGCTTGGAGCCGAGCCCCATGACCCCGTGTCTCAGTAAGTATCAGATGATGCTATCTTATAATTTTGTGGGAAAAAACAAGCCTCAGAAATGAGATTCCGAAGGACTCATTCTTTTTGGTTCTAAAAATCCGTTTCTGACAGCTGGCAGGCCTCCACTGACCAAGCCCTCTCTGGGGATGGGCCGGCCTCAAGTCAGGACCCCCCGCTGGCCGGATCCCTGGCCATACTGCACAGAACACAGCCCCTCTGGGACCCTGGCTGGGGTGGAAGCCCCTCCCCTCACTGACACCCTGCTGGTCTCTCCTGGGGTCGCCCAGTGTCTGCTGCCTAGCTGGGAAACCGACCCTCACACTAAGGAAGGTCAGCTTCTCGGCCCAACCACTGCCCCTCCCAGTTCCCCCTTCCCCACTGTGTCCTAAGTTTCCAAGAACATCCCCAGGACCCTGATGTCGGCTCTGGGAAGTCCAAAGTTCAGGGTTTTGGGCAATTAAACCCAAGGCCTGTCAGCGGGCTAGGGGTGAATGACCAGGGAGCGTTCCTGCGGAAATGGTGGGAGGACGCTGAGTCAGTCTGTGTCTTTGTCAGGGTGGGGCCGAGGCCATTGACCCTCTGGGGGTCAGGGCCCTTGCCTGCCTCTGTCTTCCTCCCCTGACCTCCCTCTTAGAAGGTAGCTGGGCCATTGAGATGCCTGCATCACAGCATTGTCCTGTCCCAAGAACTGGACTTTTTAGGAGGAGGGTGAAACTGGCGGGGACCCAGCTTGACTCTTGGGAGAGGCTTTGAGGGGTCTGGGACAGGAGCAGGGCTCCTCTGGGTATGCCATCAGGGATGCTTTCTCTGCTCATATGGCCCAGCAGCCCAGGGCAGGGAGCCCCTCTGCCTTCCCGGAATTGACCCTCTGCACCCTCTCCTGGGCCTTCTTCTCACTACCTATAACCTCCACCGTGCGGCAACGGAGCCCCTCCCTCAGGCCCCTCTGGCTGCTCTCCACACCCCGTGGCTCTCGATCTAACCTGGTTTCTTAACCTCTCTGGACCTCAGCTTCGTGATCGGTAAAATGGGAGTAAGGATACCGCTTCCCTCG